TACATTTTGGAGCAGATCTGACGGGGTGGATACACAAATTATTATTATTTTGTTTACATTGCGAGATAGGGCATTTGGCCTTGGTGGAGGTCTGCATTCTCCAAGTGCCCTTCTAGCTGTATATTAATGCACGACTGAAAATAGTCCCAAACAAATGCACTATTTACTTCTCTTTGTGTAATGAAACTACAGTCCCCAGCTGTTTCAGGAAATGAAAATGAACAAACGGGCTTGGGGCTGAGTGCCACAGACAAGGTTGTGAAGCACAGAGACGGAATAATGCATTGTTGGTTTTGGTCTTTTCGTGGAATTGTTGTCAATAAGTAAGGCACTGACAGACAGATAAAGAGAAGGCAGTGGTGGTGTCCGGGTGGTTGGGTGAGAGAGAGAGATCCCCAGCAGCAGTCCTGGCCCAGTGTGACTCACAGGCTAAATGAGCCAGGCGTGTTGCCCCCTGATGCTCTGTGACCTAGATTGAGAGATGCAGGCAGGACCATAATCTCTCATTTCTCTCGCTCTCTCTCAGTATAGAACAGGCTGCCGAGATGAAAACCTGCCTCTCCGCAGCAGCAGCAGCAGCAGCAGCAGCAGCAGGAGCAGTAGCATCGCAGACAGGCAGCGGGATGGACACTAGTCACTAGAAAATCCACACATCCACTTATCAGCCAAAGCAGTTACAGCAGAGAACGAGACAGCAATCAAATTAAGGAGTAAAGAAAATTACTACATGGAGCTGTGCAAACTGTCTGCTTTACTGGACATGTGATATGTTTGTAAGCATTTAAAGGGACTGTGCAGATGGCATGCATTATAGGCTCTGAGAAAGGCTGTGTGTCACTTGAAATTTATCAATAGTGCCGATATGACATCTGAGTTTCAACACCAACTTGCTTGTGGCTATGCTAGCGGCGAGGCTCTACGGTCAGCAATGACAGTCTCTATCGGTCTCTCTGATAACCACTATTGGACGGATAGCCATGAAATTTGGTACAGATGTGCATGTCCCCCTCAGAATGAACTGACCTGCTCTCTAGTGCCATCATTAGGTCCAAATTTTAATGTGTCCAATACTTTATGACCAATTATCTGCTAAATTAGAGACATTCCCATCACCGACTGTACCTTGTTTTAAGCACAGATTCATTAATGTTAGCATGCTAAACAGTATACCTGCTACCTGCTAACCTGCTAACATCAGCATGTTAGCATACTGGCTTTAGCATTTATCTTGAAGCACCGCTGTGCATAAGTACAGCCTCACAAAGCCACATTCATGCAGCCCTCAAATCGGCTGACGCTCTTTTCCTGCGAGGTACAAACCACGAAAAGTCGTTGCCATGTTATAGCCTTGTTATATTTATCTTGTGATAGAAATTTTAAACGGTCTGCCGTCAACGTCAAATGTTTCCCTGTGGTATCGAAAATCAATATTTTTCAAGTTAGTGTATCCAAGTTTAGATATTACTTTATTGTGACAACATTGTTTTGAGTATTTTTATGCAGAATGTGAATATTACGCAGTGAAAAAGCTATGTAAATTGTTTTGGAACAAGATCGATTTTTCTGAGCTTTTGCTCCGAAAAAAGCATCCACCAATCTAGTTGTGCAGAACAGAGGTGACTCCCCAACTTCAATGGTGGACCCATTGCAACCATTTGCAACTGTTCTAATTTCGCATTGGAGCCAGTATGACTAGTTTTGATGCGGGCAAGTATTTTGCATTTTTGTGTCGCTTATTTGTCACATCCCCAGTGTGTAAAGGCCTTACTTGTGGTAATTCTTTCAACTTAAGAGAAAAAACTTACAAAATAAATACTTTTCTACAAGACACTTTTTCATAATTTAACAAAAATGAGCCAAATGTCTCAAATGTTAAATGCTGTCAAAACACAGACAGCCATAAAATGTGTTTTAATCAAATCAATACAAAATAAGTAAAAAACACTATGAATCTGTCCTTTGATACCAACTATCAATAGTCTGTGTGACGGACACATTTCTGAGATCAATACCATGCACTGCATGCCGTCTTGTGTACAGCATCTGTACAAAGCAAATCTTTTGCACTCTGTTGCTGTCACACACTCACATACACAATAGAAAAACAGGAGCTGCAGACACTACGATGCCCACACACTCGCAGGCTGAGCAGCTTAAACAGTTGTAGTTCAGTGCTCTAAATTCCAGTCCGGCTCAATCACTGAGTCTTTGATCCCCTCAATGGCTTTCTTTGTGTCCTTACAGTCATGGAGGTTAAAGTAGGTGGAGTTGCTCTTTCTCGCTCTCACATACACACACTTGCACACAAATACAGACAAATACACACACACACTGCAGCCCACAACTACTGCTGTGAAAAAAAACTGCTGATGCATATTTTCTACTGTTTGTTGCTAGGGGAGTCCCATGTAGCAGGACAACAATGGGGTGATTGTTGCCATGTAAAAGATATCCATGAGAAGCTTTCAGACTCATTGGGGCAGCCAGCTGCTGCTCGCCTTGTCCTGTCAGCGTTGAGCAGACGGCGAACACACTTGATTGAAGTAGAAGACGTGGATAGCATCAGGGCATCTGGATAGCACCGAGCATTTTTAATAGCAAAAGAATGGACTCTGATCTAAAGTTACAAATGATGGAGCCTTCGTCTCCAGCAGAGGGTCAGTCACCATGCAGGTGTCACCTTACCACTAAGACTGTCACAGGTGACTCTGACTGTACTCAAAGATGTCTGGTTGTTCTGTCATTAGACCATCTGACCAGAGCAAAGCAGCAGCTGTCTGCAAGCTGTTACATTAACACTGAAGACTGTAAACAGAAGAGGACGGAAGTCGAGTCACATGACTTCAACTCAATCCTGACTCCAGGCAATTTCCTTACCTTGAGACCTGATACACATACGAAGAGAAGTACTGATGACAGGTTTTTACGTTTACTTTCCAAAAATAATCACCAGTGCTGAACAATAAGTCCAATGGACAGAAAATGAATTGTCAACAATTTTTATAATCAAGTTATCTTTTTTTCTGTCACTGTCAACTGAATTTGTTTGTGTTTTGGACTACTAGTTGGACAAAATAAGCAATTCAAGGATTGGACCTTGAGGTTTTTGAATTTGTGATGTATATTTTTCATAATTTTCTTTAGAAATAACTCAATTGATAATGGAAACAATCACAAGTCAGATCCAATATCTGCTTAATAACCTGTGGATTTAACTAAGTTAAAATTGGTACCTGTTTTACTACAACACTGTGGTTATGTGTGATTTTGCTTTGGCACAAACATGGGAGACTCGTGCAAACAGTTTCACAATCAAAGGCTCACTATTTGCACTCTATGGCACTAATTTTAAGCACAGTTAAACCTAACAAACCAAGGGCTTTTGCAATCATACCACAGCCTCAAACAACAATCCACACCAGGTTAATTCATCTGTTACTACACCTGCTTTACATCCCCGACAAATGCGTGAATGAAGTGTTGTAGGATAAATATTGTTGTTATTAATCTACAATTACTGCATTTACATTGTGCACTTAATTACACAGTGATTTCCCATCATCCGCTGCCTCTCACCCTGTTGAGTAAATTGAACACAGGCTGAACATCCACTCCTCCATTACCCAGGTTCATTATCTCACAGTAAATTGGTGTCTATTATTAAACAGAACACACACTCGCCTCTGCAGTAGCTCAGGTCAAAGCATGCCACAGCCTCACCCTGTGACACCCTGTTAATTTACTGATGTATGACACAGAATGAATGAAATGCAGTAAACTGTAAACACTATGCAGGATATTGCTTTGTTGAAAAACAAACTTTTATATCTTTTAGTTTCTACATTAAAGCCCTGAGCTTGGTTGTATTTTAAGAAACTAAAATGGAACAAGTGACCAGAAATATCAGCGAACTCTGCAGCCGGTGGTTGTGCAGGAAACACTGCCAGCTAGTTTGTCTATTCAAATCTTCAAACACATGTCATGAATGATTTGTTGCCTTTTCGTGAATGAGAGAAACACAGTATTGACTTTGACTCTGTTACTGTAATTAAAATCAATAACGTAGGCTTAATAAGCAAACATTAATGATGTTGGTTTCTAAGTTTTTCATGTGATGCTAAGTTTCACCTGTTCTTCTACATGGACAGCTCCAGGTATCTGTGTGTGTGTGTGTCTGTGGTGCAAGAGGGGACTGAGGCATCATTAGTGGCCTTATACATCTCCCCTGCTTGGCTCTCCATGTGAAACACAACATTACTCATCCACCCCCGGGCACCTGAGAGCTGCACAGCACCAATCAAGCTGCTGCACTGTGATTCACAGTGTGAGGAGGAGACTTGCATAACAGCCATATTCCCATTTCCCACAGTCATTCTTATAACACAAATAACCCTCCTAATATATCTGCTGCAGTTTCAGGGTTCAGACTCTGAGAGCAGCGGAATGTTGAAGGGGAGAGACAGCATCATTTAGTGTCCACTGAGGCTGCACACACACACGCGCACACACACACACACACACACACACTAACAGGGCCTCCGGGACGACAAACTTGACCCATTTTCCTTGGAGTGTATGTGCAATATAGCTGTGATGATGAGCAATGTATGACACAGTGTGTATGCAGGCAAATAATGTGGATCAACACAAGAACATGGAGGAAAATAAAAGACTAACACATGCCAGACTACTAACATAAACAGGCTATTGTTCACAGCATGTGTCGCAGTCTATGCAAATACATGGCTCTTTGTCCAATGCAAGCAACAGGGATAGTTGATGGGGAAATGACAGCTTGAAAAGGAGGTCAGTGTGTTTTTATCATTTGTTGTAGTCGTGCCCCGGATCCACTGCAGCAGCTCTGTCTCACCCAGCTGACACAGGACGGCTGTTTGTGGCCGATTTCATGGGAACACGGTCAAGATCCCACTCTTTAACTTCCGTTTGCTTTGATCACCGCCGCAGCTTAAACTATTAAACCCTCTGTATGGAAACCTTACCTTCGGATAGCTCCAGATCCAACTCCGCCAGCTGGTCCCTGACCTCTTTAGGCAGAGCCGACAGATCAACGCCGCGGTCGGCCATCGTTGGAAGCACAGCAGCCAGCGGGATGTTTGCGATATATGGGATGACGACAGGTACAGTCCAGCATGAAGCTCAGAGCAACAAAATCAAGATGTAGTAGTGGTGGTGTTTACTCCATCTTCGCGTCTCCCCGACACCGCCATGACTGTGGGAGATGGGAACAACTCGCCAGAGGAGTCTGTCAGTCACATGACCGGGGCTGACGGTAATTGCTGTGACAGGACAGTGGGATGAAGCAGACTCTCTGCTCCCTCTGCTGTTGTGTTTTTACTGCTGGGAGGAGAAACGGCATTCCTCCAGATCCATCTCACCTGCCGCCACCCTCCCCTCAGGTGGAAACTGGCTCCAGTTTGTGTACTCTCGTTTGTAACGTTACCAGTCGTAAATGACCGTTACACCGGAAAGCTAACAGTTAGCATCCGACTTCTCGAAAAATAACCCCAGTGTGAACTTTGAAAAAATACTGAAAGTCGTCTAACAATACTCACTGCTGTTCTGGAGGAGGTATTTCCAGAAAGTTAAAAAACATTTTAAACCACCTGGATAAAAAAGTCTGTTGCAAAATAAAAGAAATGAGATTTTAAATCCATTATTTACTGCTACCCTACAAAACAAAGATGGCTGCCGGAAATGACCCATTCTTGCTCTGTGCAACAAAATTAAAGATAGAAAATAGAAAGAAAATTAAAAGTTTTATTATCCCCAACATGTATCGTACGGTATGATGATATTATGCTGCAATGTAGGCTATTCTTTAATATTTCATTTTTTATGGTATTTTCTTATAAAATAATTTCATATATCTTTTAGTAACATAATCTGTTAATATTTTCCAGTGTTGTGGAAAACAAACAGGAATATTCTTAAACTCTTGCTGTAAAAACCAATGGCTCTTAAGGGACATATTAAAGTTGAAATTTTAATTTAACTGGTTAAAAATAGGCCTTTATTTCAGCCCCAGAAAATTTTTACAGGGATGGCAGGTGGATTTACCAAAAAAAACTTGGGGTGGCACACCAAAACCAAAAGCCATACCTAAATTTCAGGAAATGCTATTATGCTGTTATAGTATACACTAGTTGAAAACTATGTCAATGTTGAAGGATCACTAATCTCTATTTGAAAGGTATCTACCATAGACTGTATAACAACATGGACACCATATCTCCACTTCCTCCCACTGTACAAAAATGAAGCCAAGACAATCTGCAAACAGCCGTTGCCATCTTGTAATGGTGATGTCATTTGGAGCGAGAGCCTGTGCTGTAGAGATCTCTGCTATATTGAGTTCCTGTCCTTACACCCATCCAACCAGTCACAAGCAGCATAATTGATCGCAAGTACAGCGATTGATACACATAGTCCTCAATCATGTCATCAAACACCTTTTTATACCATCAAATAACAAACATCAAACTTAACAGAACCCTTGAACATACAGCAGCGTGATAAGAACTAACTAAAATGACAGACACCATCTTCTGGAAAAATGTATTTGATGTGTTCTTTGACACTTTAATTTGGTCCATGTTCCATCAGCTAACATGGAGGGAGCAAGGTTTATGACCTATATTGCAGCCAGCTACCAGGGGATCGAGATGTTTTGGCTTCACTTTTGGTGAGCTGTCATGTTGCCCATCTTTGTTCTACAGCCTATGATACCTGCATATGTATGCAGAATCTGTAGGCGACAGGACAAGATTTTGGTATCCCAAGCGTTCTGGTTTCTGTTTGTCTATTTGTAGTCCTATGTACCAATCACATTTTAGTGGCAGGCAAACAGTCTGTGTGCAGAAGTGGAACGGATTGGCCAGAAATGCATGTTCTGAATCCATAAGCTACATTTGCTTTCTTAAAGTTTGGCCTCCAGAGGTTTATCATCATCAGACCAATGACCGATGTGCTCAAGATCGAGGAATCACATGTTGATATACCTTGGTTTCTTATTTTTTTTTAGCTGTGATTAGTAATTATCTGATGTGCATAGACTAACAGTGGTACAGTTAACATTTTGAGTTTCACAACAATCCTGTTTCAATGAGTTACGTATCTGTATATACATTGGGCAATTCATTGTTCTTGAAGGAATACACTAACTAGAAACAAAACTTCTCAAGTTTAAAAACAGAAATTATTTTCCATTAGTTACATGAGGGGGCCAGCAATTTATCAGGGTGGCCATGGCCCCCTCTCACCCCTTGGGGGCGCCACTGGCCACTGTAGGAAAAGCCTGATGGCTCTGTGGTATTCAAGTGTCCCAGTGAGAGTGACAGCGAGCCAATTTGCACAGTACCAGGACTCAGAAATAAAAGCAGCTGAATGTATTTCAGCCATCAATTATATTATTTACCCCCGTTCTTTTTTTACTGACAAGTCAAAATAAAATGTCTTCTGTGGAAAAGGCCTATCATGCAGCAGACTGAATATTTTTGTCAAGATGGTTAGAGGAGTCTTAAACGTGCAGTAAGAGCAGCGAGACTAAATGATGCTATGTGTAAAACACTGCTGAAGGGGTTCTGCACAGTTGATTATTCTGAGGTCATCACTGTTGGCGACCCCTTTCACATACAACTAGTCATATGATCAATTCTTTATGTAAAAATATGAATTGTAGCAGCTTTAAGGGATTTAGAAACACAGCTGCAGAGCAGCAGTCAGTGCTTTAAAACAGCCTTCAGGGTTTTTTTTTTCAAGGATCGCTGGATGTTTATTTTCTGGAAAAACTGCTGCTTCTGTGTGACTCAAATGCAGCAACAATACATGAGAGGCACCAAGTGGGGGTGGGTGGAAACATGCTGATGAACGTTTCTTTTTCATTAATTTATTTTATTATTTGCCCGAGACAACTTATTCATTAGTTGAGACTATACACAAGTAATTTTTCCCATCCTGAAGCCTGAGTATTTGACAAACTTTCCATACAAGATATCTTTGAGACATTTTTTCATGTGGTTCAACCTGTGTTAAACACATACAAAGACATCTAAGCTCTTTCACAAAATAAAAGGGACATACTAATCACATGATGGAAAAAATAAACATCTCAAAACAATGACGTTATTTAAAAAAACNGGAGGGGGGGAGGGGGGGGGAGGGGGGGGGGGGGGGGGGGGACATAATAGTCCTGGAAGTACACTGTGGCATAAAATAATTTGTAATTCAAAAGTTAAATTTCAAAAGAAGCACCTTGCACAAGTATTTAAGTCTACTTCATGATACAAGACAGCTTTTCAAATGTTGGAAAGCAACCAAGACTAGGACATCTGTAACTCTCTACAGATGTGCACCAATCACCAGTCCCATTCATTCAATTATACTCATCTTCACATTTTCTCTGGTCATCTCATCACTATAGCTTTCAACTGAAATAGACCAAACCCCTCTCAGTGGCTGGGCTACACACAACAAATAAATGCAAGAACATTGATATTCAATAGAAAAATATATTGCACTACTCTTTCTTCAACTGAAATGCCAGGGTATATGATTTAAAATCTATTCTGTTTGATTATCATTTAAAGGCCTTCTAAAGCTAACCATTTCAAGTGTGTTACATTAGGACTGAGGATGGAATCCTTACATAACAAGGACAATTTTTGCATCAGTAATTTGATGTTCTGAAACAGAAGAAAAGCAGATCAACGAACAGTGATATAGTATGATGAAGCACAAACAAACAGTGGTATTCTTCAGCCTTGAGTAATCCATGCAGTCAATAGAGTTTGATACATACATGACTAATGTACTGACATCCATTCCCAATGGGTTAAAACTGATGGTAAAAAAGTCAGGCACACACTCACAAGGTAAACTGTGTACACATCTATAATTTGGTTTGTTAAATATGCAGTCGGCTGACTAAACCGTCATGTGTATTTAAGGAGAAGTAACTCAAAAGGGGAAAAAAAAACCAGACAGAAAACTAAAAGACAGGTTTAAAAGTAAACATAAAAAGAGCAAAAGAGAAGCTCTCCAGGTCGCCTTTTACTGAAATCAGCCAGCCAATCTCTCACCGTACTTTCATTGCATCAGCACACATCATGTCGACGAGCTGTATCAGCCATAAAAATCTTTTCATACAAATGAAAAATACAAGTAAAATTGTCAGCCTGGAAAGCAACCAACCTCATCACAGCCAGCGTGTGGGACTAAAAGTTGGACTGAAGCTGCATTTTTTTTAAGTGAATCAAAATAAACGGATAATTCCGACATAAAAAGTTTTCATTCATACTTTTCATCCCAATCTAAAACCTTTTTCAACTGTCACGATTGAACACGAAATGACCCCAGACCCTGCAGAGTGAGTGTCCGACGTGGTTTTCATATTTACATACAGAGAGTGATGAAGCGTCTCTGAACAGGGAGCCTGCTGGGACAGGAGGGTTGACGGAGGCACTGTGCCGTGTCTTTGTGTGATTATCATTGGCTGTGAGGGGACGGGAGGATCATAGTCTGGGGGTGGGGGTGTGAGGGCGGGTCCCTCTTTTTCAAACGCTTTGCACCAGTCCGGCCTCCAAATGCCACTCGAGTTCATACTGGCTGCCTGCGTCAGCACATCATCTTGGGGTTGACTGTGACTGCGTCGCCATGACGACCCCTCCCGGTTGGCCCGATCCCATGCCGGCAAGGACCGACATAGCCACCGCCTCTGCAGCTCGGACGCTCAGCCCGTTGATGGTGGCTCCTGGACTGGAGGCCGGGGCGGGTGGTGATGGCCCATGCTGGATAACTGCTGCTGGGGAGCCGATGGGTTCACTGGGAGTATCCCTGGAGGTTTCCTCTCCTCCTGCAGCTAGAGACAGAGAAAGAAACATTCACCCTTAGAGAGGTGAGCGAGTAAAAAGAATGCATTAGATGGATGAGATGATAGATGGATCTTGATAAAAGAAGTGGCACAGTGCAGGAAGCTCAATGATTACCTAGGAAAGCCGCCTTCTTCTGCATAATAGTGACCGGGCAGTCTTTGTGGGCGAGGAGGAGCTGCTTCAGCTGTGCCACCTCGTTCCTCAGTAGAGTTACTTCATTCTGAAGGCAACACAAAACATACAGCACCCAAATCATACCGAGCAAGCCCCAAGGAGACCAATGTGTGTGCATGTTTAAGTTACAGATACAACGCTGCAGTGACAGGGACATAGAAGACTCACCGTCAGGGACACATTC